TGTTCTTCTTTTTTTTGCAGTTGCAAAGCACTATATTGCTTCAGGATGTGTGAAAGGAGGGGTGAGAGGAGAAGTGAGAATAGGAAAGAATGAGTTCTTTGATCCCAAGAAAGGGTGGCGTAAGGAAGAGAAAGCAAGTGTCGTGTAAGATGTTGTAAGAATGATCATGTTGCCATTTTAATTGATGATCAAGTATTGTCCTCATGACCGTGAAAGTTGTTTGTGAATTGAATTCCGGAACCATTAAGAAACCATGATGCTGCTGTGACGGTGTCAGAAGACTTGAGTAATGGCAATGGCAAGTGCACCATTTCGGCTGATGATGTTTCGCTTATTCGGTTGATACGTTCGAATTTTGCTCCTGCGTGCATCGGCGAAGGGATGAGCGATGTATTCGACTGCTCTTCTTGATCTTCAAAGCTTTCTCAAATCGTGCGGGGAAAGATTTGGTTGATCTGGACTCCATTTGGACATTTATACTTGTGAGCTCTTTTCATGAAGCGATGCGGGTCGTATTTGCGTTCATTGCCCCGATCAATGTCGTGTGATGATTATGAAAACAGCAATGTGTGATACTGAATATGCGACAGGCGGATCTCGAACAAGAAGAGAATGATGCCGGTTGATTTAGTTGGGTTCCACGAGTGAGAAGTGAACGATGTCTGTTGAATGAGGAGTGGTCTAGAATGAGAGTTGGTCTTGAATGAGGAGTTGTCTTGAGTGAGGAGTGGTTCTCGAATGATAAGAGAACGATACCGCTTGATTGAGCTGTGATCCACAAATGAGAAGTGGATGATGCCGGTTGAGTGATGACACAAATGAGATGGTGTTGACTGAATATTCAGAGCATTCACCGGAGCGTCAAAGAAGACGTTGGTTGACTAGGTTGCATGTTGGCGTTTGCACTTGTGAGGCTTTTCCTGAAGTGATGCCATTTTTTTAGCATTGAGTTCCACAATCATTGTCTTGTGTGTCTTGTGTGTCTTGTGAGAAGTTTGTGATGTTGACTGAATGACAAGTTGATCTTGAATGACAGGTGGGTCTTTGAATGACAAGAATAACAAGGGGATGTTGATTGGAATGATTGGAATGGCAAGTGGAAGATCATTGGAATGACAAGTGGAAGATGGTTGGAATGAGATGTGGGTGTTGGGGGTTGGAGTCAATCAAAAAAGGGGACTTTATATACCTTTCAATCATTCATTTCACAGTTTCCAGAATTCGTATAATGTTCCATCGACTGTCAAGTATGTCAAAATTGAATCTGACAGGTCAATTGACAATAATCCACATGCATGTTATATAAACAAAAAGACCATCCGTTCGCTAGCACGATTTACAGTTCTAGGCTTTCCTCGGACCATCCGATGGGATTAAGATATACCGTTCTTTTGGCTTCCCGGCAATTTATTCCTTGGAAGCCTTAACATGTTAGATATATTGCATCGCTGCTGCTTTATGTTCGATAATCTGTATTTCTTACTAACCATCCGATGGTTGTGACATTCCCACTTTTCTGGCTTCCAAGCAAGTACTTTTTGACAAATCATCTGCAGCTGCTATTTAGAAATCTCACTAGCCATCCGATGGATCTGAGATACTCCGCTTTTCTGGCTTTCAGACGAATACTTTTTTTCACAAATCATCTGCAGCTGCTATTTATAACTCTTACTAGCCATCCGATGGTTGTGAAATTTCTAGCTTTTCTTGGCATTCAAGCGAACAATGTTTTGACAAAATATCTACAGCTGCTATTTATATTTCTTACTAACCATCCAATGGTTCTGATATACTGTCGGAAAGGACCGTCAGAGACGCTACATCAGACAGGATCATCGGATGTGTCACATTAGAGAGGTACGATAGAGGTGTCACATCAGAAGGCACCGTCAGAGGTACTGCATCAGAAGGCGCATACAGAGGTAGCATATCCGAAAGAATGTTCTGATGTATCACATCAGAAAAGATCAAAAGAGGTATCACACTAGAGGAGATTACGAGAGGCAGCACATAAAAAAGGAACAATAGATGTACCACACTTGAATGAATCGTCAGAGACTTCTCATCAGAAGAAAGCGTCAGAGTTCGCACACGTGAAAGGGTCCGTAAAAACTACCAAATTAGAGGTGATTATAGTCAAGTGTGACTGTGACTCAGTACCATCTGGCGCTGTGTGCTTTTGTAGTGTGCCAGTCTGATCATTAGTGGATCCAAACTTAGATCCTAGACCATCAAGCTTACCAAACCTCCTGTAAGTGGACAGCCACAGCTTCGCCTTGCTCTTACGTTTCAAATCCTATGCTTTGCGGGGCTCTGTTTTGTGTAGAACTGTCATTATACACAAGATGTGATGAAACGAACAAATTGCAGATCAAGAGCTTGAAAAGCTCAACTACCATAATCGTTTTGTTCACAGCTCAAAATGCAACTCAAAAGCACCTTTGCTTACATTATACTTTGGACAATGATAGCTGCGCCTGCAATGTCAAATCATATCTTCCTGAAGAGATCAGATCTGACCTCTGTTCCTACCATTACGCCGGGCAATGGTGGTAGCAATGTTCCTTCGCCGCGAATCGTAGAAGGCATTGATCTTGGTCGTGGACGTGGGACGAATCCTTTTAATGACCGTCAAAGACATCATGTCCATCCAGAATTGCCTTCCAGCCATCCGATCAGACCTCCAGATTATTCTTCGGTACGATATGAAGAAGAAAAACCGGGAAAGTTGGAGCGTTTGACGGGAAAAAAGAGAAAGCGAGAAGGTGATCCTGAAGGAGGAGCAGCGAATGATCATGAAGCAGAACCTAGTGATACGAAGGAAGAAAAACCAGAAAAGGTAGAAGATCAACCACGAAAGAGGTATAGATATCGACACAAAAGTGGCGAAACCCGAAAAAAGGAAAACGAAGGGATGGGTAAGGCTTTAGCTGCTGCAGGTGCTGCTGTAACAAAAAAAGCAGGAGATATTTATCGTGCTGGGCAAAGGACCGTTAGAGGTATTAGGAGCGGATGTGATGCTGCTTGTCAACGTGCTCAAAGAGTAGCCTCACGCTTGCGCAATCGATTGACAGGTAAAAGAGAAGCTGAACTTCGTGAAAGTCCGCAGTCTACGTCTTCCATCCGACAATCGTCTGCATCACCTTCTCGTGCTCCTAATCAATCTGTCAGGCGTCCTACTTATCCTTCCATTTCTTCTAGCTCTTCTTCGAATTCGAACTTTATTGTCTATCGTCTACCTAGCCCATCAAGAACTCGACAAGGCACGGCATACCAACCTCGATGGTTAAGAAAGGCTAATTAAGTAGCTTCGTTCTCCTTGTTTCTATTGCATAATATACATCATGATTAAAATTACACTATTAAGGTGGTGGCGTATCGGAATAAACATAACGTAGCCATCTTGTTTTTCTCTTTCCATCCAATAATTGCTTTTCCAGTACACAGATCGAGCAATGACAGCTGCCTCCGTACCCCTTTACCCATAAATGTGAAGCGCCACAAGGTAAGCAAAACCTCCACTGGAGTGCTTCTTCAGAGTGGTTAAGATTGTTGTTCTGTTGTCCAAGTGCCTTCTCTTGACTTGGGTAATATCCTCCGATCTTCATCCATTGCCAACCACGTTTCTTTAAAGTACTTCGCGGATCAGATTTCGGTTCAGTTCTTGCTTTAAGCCAAAAGGGGTTATATGAGAATCCGTCTAGGCTATCGTGTAAGAAGCCAACGGTTTCATCAAAAGGTGGAAGCCAATGTGAACCTGATTTGATAGATGCGATCAAGCTGCTTTCGTACGTGTGTGTTAAGTTGAACCCGGCCGAAGAAGCAGCACGTTGGAAATCGGAAGATAACATCTTTTCATCAAGTTGAGATGGCGGAGTGATGATGGTACGACAGGAGACACATCTATACGAATGTTGGGCGATATGTCGGAGATGGTGTGGGAGCTTCTCTAGCTGGACGTTACCTTCATCCATTTGAACGGCCATTGCAGCAATTCCTAATAAAGATGACATCGTTCTTATCTCTCTTGCCTTTCCTTGCGGCTTTTGTGAGATCAAAATATTGCAAATGCTTAATGAATCAAGCGTAGCAGTGTTCCGTACTTCCCAATTATCACCCATGCCGAAGAACTTGATATCTGTTGAATAAACACATTGAGGTAAAGGAGCCATTAAAGCTCTTGCATTTGCGACTTTTTGATCGTGTGATTGAATATAACAACGTCGTAATGAAGGTAATTGCGGTATGAGTGTTATTATTGCTTGTTTCCATTGAAGGATAGAGGTACAACAAATCATTAAATCATACCAACTATTCGTTACCAAATATGGCTCTCGTTCTTCTTTAGGCCAATCTTGTCCAACACTTGCGCAATATACCAATTCATCACGACCTCTACCGCATAGTGCAGATATTTCCACGCACGTTGCCCAACGTGAGGTAGATGAGCGAGAGAAGAGCTCGTTATTCCCTCTGAATGTTTTTCGCCATAACTGTAAGCATGCATTGAAGGATTTCCTCTCTGGTTGTGATAAACGTGATGTATAAGCCGGAGAGCGAAGGGATGGTATATTGATCTGATCTTGATCGTCGGTCTCTTGTAAAAAGAGCCTATCCAGCCTAGCTTGCAACCGAACGACACTATGGGTGAATATAGCTTGAGGAAAAGTTGCTTGTCTTCTTCTGAAATCTCTTCTAACGTCATTCAAGACATCTTCTTCTGAGTTGGAATATTTCTTAAGGAATAACCAAACGCCTTGCCATAGTTCTTGTGATTGTCTTCCTTCCCGTAGATCATCCAAATCGATATGCGCTTGCAAGAGCGAAGAGAGCGACTGACATTCTTTACACGATTCTATCCTTTGTAAGAGTATACAATCGTGTGCGGAATTAGGCAGTGAATCACCTAATTGTGCGATTCTAAATGTACCTTTTGCGGCTACTGATGTACTTTTGATGGGATCGTGATCGTCATCACTCATAAGCGATTCATCTGAATCATCGCTGTCTTGCTCGCCTATTCCTATTATCCTACCTTCCTCATTTTCGTATGGAGGTGGCATATTTAGTAGGTGATCGTGAGCAGTAGCATGATTGATTGATTGATTGATTCAATCTGATATCTTATCTCCGCCTGTCTTGCATAATATTGAATGTAAATATTTAATCGCGTTGGCCTGTGCATTTTTATCCGCCTTTTGCCTTCCTTCTTCATGCAGGGACACGAGCGAGCAATTCTAGCCGGAAAAAGGATAAAAAGCGGGGAACATAAGCGGCACGCGGGGAAAGAAGAGCGAGCCAGAGCCGGATAAACGGCAATAGAAAGAAACCTGAACGGAGTATCACTCTTCCTTCTTCACTACCTTCACATACTTTCGCGAACATGGCTTCTTCAAGTAGTAACCTGACTTTGCCCGTCGTGGGTGAACATCTAATCCTATCGATCCCTGCTCCTCGTGTCTTGATGGTAAAGATGAACAGGCCCAGACAATTAAATGCAATGTCTTGGGGAATGGAACAAGATATGGCAAAGACATTCGATTGGTTTGAACAACAGCCTTCTTTGTGGGTCGCAATCTTGACCGGAAACGGAAGAGGATTTTGTGCTGGACAAGACTTGAAATCATTCATGGAAAATCAAAGTGATTCAGAAGACGCATTTGAACAACAATACAATCGAATCAAACAAGGCGGCTTTGGTAGCGTGAGCACGCGAAGATTCAACAAACCAATTGTTGCTGCTGTTGATGGTTATGCAATGGGAGGTGGAACAGAGCTAGCACTCAACTGTGACCTCGTCATCGCTACTTCAAGATCCGTCTTTGGCTTGCCTGAAGCAGCCAGAGGTGTGGTTGCAGCGATGGGCGGAATCGCAAGAATATCACAAGTTGCCGGTCATCAACGTGCTGCCGAGATGCTTTTGACGTGTGATCCTGTTCCTGCCATCGATGCGCGTAATCGATTTGGATTTGTGAATGCAGTCGTTGATGTGTCCAAAGAAGAATCCGTTGAGAAGGGACAAGCGATCATCGAAGCAGAAGCGATTCGTTGGGCACAAAAGATTACTGCCAACAGTCCAGATTCGGTCATCGTAAGCAAACAAGGGCTGGACCTAGCACGAGATATCGGTAAAGGTACTCTTGGGATCGACGAGGTAACCGGTCAAAACTATTTGAGCGAAATGAGCGCCGCTTGGCGTGAAGGCGATAACATTCGGGAAGGCGTGACCGCCTTTTTCGAAAAACGAAAACCCGAATGGACCGATTCAATTCCACCCATTCCAATGAAAAAGACGTCAAAATTGTAAAGATGTATGCATGCTTTCCAATGAATATGACGAGATCAACTTTGCGGGGTTATTGAGTGGCTGTGGTGGTAGTAGTTAAGATGCGGTGCGGTGCTGCTTAAATGCATGCATATTTCCTGAACCGGATAGAGGGCGTAAATAAACAGGATGGATTTCAAACTTGAAATCTTGACACCTTTCCATCATCAGTGTATCTTTTCCGAATAACAAGAAAGCAGTGCAATAGCTACGACCATGTAGTCATTCGTTCGGGGTATGCGCTGCATGCGCGTGCAATGTTGAACGGAATATGGGGCTTATGGCGTTGAAGGATGATGTCACTGCAAAAGTTTCGAACTCATGACTGTCCTATCTCCAAGCATTGATAGGGGATACGCTTCCTCGATCGTGGCGATGGGCTAAAGGACACAGCACTTGTGTGGATAGAACAATCTCGAACGGTGAGATCTTTGAAACTGTATAAATGCGTCAGTCTGTTTGAAGATGAGCATCCTTTAAAACTTTTTTTCGCTTTTCAGCATTCATGTTGATTGTTGGAAAACAGAGAATTTATCAACTTTGATTGGTGGATTACAAATTACAAACAGATTTTGTTCGATAATCACAAACCAGCACATGGCGCATACAAAGTGCTAATCTGCTGGACCAGATGAAGCTCTTTCGTGCTCTAAGTGTATCAGCTTTATGCTTTTTGACAAGACATACGTGCGCAGCTGTTCCAGTATTCGAGGATGCTTTGCCTCTTGTGGCAGAAGATGATCGCACGAATAGGAACAGCAACTTTTCGAGGAATAGATCAACAGAGTGGCGGGAGAAACATGAACGAAGAATGGCAAATTATATATTGCAAGAGGTGAACAATTGCAGAACTCTGTTGCCAAGTGATAGCGGTTTTTTGGTCCATATAGACTACTCAAAAACCTATTTACGGCCAAATCAAGAAAATACGAATGAACCACGACCAAGCTCAATGGTACAGAAACGAGTTTTGCACAAATTGGTAAAGACCTGGAAAAGCATGCCAACCGATCAACGTTTACAAGCTGTAGGTAGTTTGGCAGGTGTGTTAGCTTTGCCTGCTTTCCTTACTGGTGCTGCTCAAGCTTGGGATGCGGAACAAATTCAAAAGATCAAACAAAAAGCAGCAGAAGCTGAAGTGGCAAAACATAAAGGCGGAAAGCGAAAAGTAGTAAAAGAAAGTACTTCTGTTATGCCTCCGCCACCTCCTTCGGCTTTCAATCATGTAAAAAGAGATGAGATCATGGTCTTGTTGGATGAAGTGCAAGATGATGGAGGTGAACGCAAGGAACAACGTGGTCTAGGAGGAACGATCTCAAAAAGTATGGGACATGTTCATTTGCCTACTGTTCGCCCATCTGCGAGTCATGCTGCAAGTCGTGCTGCAAGTCATGCAGGTAGCCATATGAGTACGGCCATGAGCAGACCCGTTTCATCAGCTCCAAAGCAAGCGAGTGCAATAAAGGACCCGAATCCCACCGTTGCTCGGGTTCTATCTTGGACAGGTGCAATGACAAGTTTGATGTACATTCCTGCTGCTTATCAAGCCATTCACAAGGCACAGTACGTTACCGATGACGACGCACATGCATATAGACGTAGAGGGATGGATGATGAAGAAGAGATACCATCTGACCAATTGCCGCTTGTGACATGCATACCAGTTGCACGAAAAGGTTTGAATTATGTCATTCCAGAAGGAGCTTTGAACTCGCAAAATGTTCTATCTTCTTTCTCGTCATCAACGCCAATTTATGAAGATACGGTTTTGGGTCGACGCGCTGAATCCGCTGCGCTGAACAAGGTTGGAAAGCATGCAAAGCTTGTTGGAATTGCTGGTATGGGTGTTGGCTTGGGATGGTTGATGCATCAACTCAATCAACGAAGAGATCAAATAGATATGGATTCGGAGCGTGAGAATATGCTTACACGTAGAGATGACCCCGACATGGATGAAACCGAAGATTTGGAACGCAGATGGAAGCCAGGTAAAGGTTCTGTTCTTACAGCAGCCATGTTTGCTGGTACTGCACTATCTGCATCTGGTTTGGGAGTTCCGCAATTGCATGCTACAGTAACAGAGGATCCTAAAGCTGGAAATCTGAAACAACGTTTACAAAAACGTGACCAAGTTGTTCTGCAGCGGCGATCGCTCAGACATCAATTAGGAAGAGCAGCAACAGATAAAGTGACAATGTTCTTGGCAACAACAGCCACAGCGTATGGCGCTGTCAAGACAGGGGCTGCTTCTGCATTGTACAATGCAGTCGTGAATCCGAATCAAAAAGCCAATCCTCCCCAGCCACATGTAAGAAGGGATGAGGACTCGATCGATTCTTTACCTGATGAAGATCAACCTGTGCTGCTAGATGATGATTCTTGCTCAGAGAACGATTGTCAGTTTGAGCGTCGAAGCGGAAGAAAGACGACTATTTTTGCTGCTGCTCTGCTAGGAACCTTCTTAGGCCAGAGAACAGGTAAATCAGGCCAAGAAAAGGAGAACAAGCAATATCTCGAACAAATCGGTCAAGGTCCACCCAAACAAAGAAGAGCCGTTGAAAGCAATGCTTTTCCTGATTTTGTAATGCAGGACGGCGGATTGGTTAAACGAGCTCCAGGCAAGAATTCAGAAGTTGCCGAAACTGCTTCTACAGCTGTCAAACCTTACATTCTTCCCGGTGCGGTGGCAGCGACAACTATGGCTGCTTCTTTTGCAGGTCGAAAAGCAGTAAAGAATTCCTCAAAGAAAGAGTTGGATAGACGAGACATGGCACCCGTACTTGTCAAAAGAGGTGGAAAAGGTGGAGAACTCGGTAAGGCAGCCTCTAACCTTGTAAGACAAGCCAGCAAAGGCAAAGGGCCTGCCATTCAGCATACTGTCGCCGAAACGGTGTCTATGACCCATATAAATCTTGGTCATCATGGGGGCACTCCTCATGTTGAAGCTCATCACGTCAACCGTGGCGGTGGAAAATATCATGCTCAACAACATTCGTCCAGTCGTCACAGCGGTAGTGGAAGTAATAGCGGTGGAAGCGTTCAGTCAAAGCCTCATTTGGAAAGACAAGGTTCGACCGCATCTTCTGCCTCTTCATCACCGTCTAGCCCTCATCAAGGGCATCATTCACCCAAGCACGAGCCAAACGAACAAGTCAAACAGTTTTATAAAGACAATCCAGACGTAGCAATTCCATCAAGGGTGGAAGAAGTTCATCGAATTCATCATCCTGCTCCTTCCGAGCATAACGGAGCTCATGCTCAAGAAGGCGCAAAGAAGAAGTCATCGAAAGGCAAGAAAATCGCGTTTGCAGGTGTTGGTGCAGCTCTTGGTGCTTTCGGTCATCATCAGTACACAAATGCTGTTGACGCAAAAGCACAGGCTGCTCAACAACAAGCTGCACAAGAGCCTGCCCCAGACGCTGCTGCTCCGCCGGCAAAGCGCTCGTTGGAAAAACGTTCTCCTCAGGGCAGACGTCGTAGACGAGGTCGTGGAGGTGGTGGCGGTGGTGGTGGCAATCATGGGCATGGTGGTAGCATGACGACCTTCAAAATGGTTCATCAGCATACTTTTGATCATTATCTCCAGCCAGTCGGTCACCAAATGAAGAAAGGAGGAGGTAAAAAGGGCGCGATCGGAGCTTTAGTTCTGGGTGCAGTAGCAGGAGTTGTTGGTCATGCGATCTATCACAATTCAAAGGCAAATCAGGCTGCAAATCAGTCGCCACCCGTTGATGCTGCTGAAGCAACTGCCCCACAACCTCCAGAACCAGCTAAAGAGGAGAATCCACCACCAGCTGGGGGACCAGCACCTCCTGCCCCCGGTCCAAAGAAGAGAAGCCTTGATGACCAAAGTGGTGCTGTAGAGAAACGAGAAGCTAAAGGAGGCAAGCTTGCCAGTGCGCTTACCGGAGGTTTGGTAGGAATGGCAGTCGCGGGATATGGATACGCTTTCACTCACGATCAGCCTGGCACACGAAAGAAGCATACTGTCCCTGTTGGTACATTGCCGCAAAATACAGAAGGCGCAACCAAGGCCAAAAAGCGATCTGTGAATGGTACACAGTGGCAGGAAGAGACCTTGACAGCCCCAGTCGTAGAAGTGGAGCTTGTGTCCGATGAAGATAATCTTTATGATACAGAAGATGTCAAAAGCGAGAAGCGTAACATGTTGGCAAAGTACTTCAACAAGATGACCCCAAAGCAAAAAATCGGAGGAGCAATAGCTGGGGGTATAATCTTGTCAACAGCGGCAGCAATGGTTGATCCAGGTGCAAAAGAAGCAACACGTCCAATCACTAAACGTGAAGTGGGTGATGAACAATTGCTTGAAGAACGTGGAAGGTATGGCAAAAAGGACGTTGCCATTGTGAGCGCAATAGCCGGTGTTGCTGGTCTTACCGGATTGATGAAACGTGATGAATCCATGATCGAAGCCATCGAAGAAGACGAACCGATCTATCAGCACATCGTAGAAAGAGGAAACCCTAGATCTTTTCAAAATCGTGCCTTTGCCATCGCTGACTATGCAACAATCGCATTGATGGGTGGTACATTGATAAAGAACTCTGTAGGGGCTCTTTCATCTTCGAAAGCCCATCCGAAGCGGGATTTGGTCAATGCAAGCGAAGCTGCATTGCTCACTAGACGAGATTCGAGCTCCCTCGACGGAAAAACAGCTTTGTTACACCCAATCGACGCGGAATATCAATCGTTCCTCAGCAAACGATCAACTGACGAAGATGCGGTCGAAGAAGATGTGGAAGACGTATTCGATGATGTATCTGGTGATACGATTTCACGAAGGACTGTAAAGATGATGAAGCTCAGTGGCCCAATGACGCATACTTTGGCTCGCAAAGCATCCCATGCTGCACCTGCTGCCGCTAAAGCTGCACACCCATCGATGGATTCTTTGGTCGGGAAGATGTCGATGGCCACAATTGCGGGGGCAATTACTGCACCTATTCTCAAATCAGTTCTTGGTGGATCTGGTTCACCAGCCAAAGGTGCAACTCCTTCACCCCCACCTGCAAAGCGGGACGTTGCTGCAGATGTTTCAATGGACAAGAGAGCCGAGTACAGCAAATATATCGAAGCAGTAAAAAAAGAAATTGCAGGAAAGCTGGAAAAGCGCGATATCTCAGAACCATTAGACAATCGGCAAGAGTTGAAATTGCTCAAACGCAAAGCGGCTGATGCTGATTATAGCAAGTATATTGAAGCTGTCAAAAAAGAAGTTGCAGGCAAGCCGAAGAAGCGTGATATCTTAGACGCATTGGATGGTTGGCAAGAACTAAAAATGGTCAAACGTAAAGCAGCAGCGGCAGAGTATGGCAAGTATATTGAAGCTGTCAAGAAAGAAGTCGCAGGAAAGCTGGAAAAGCGTGATATCTCAGAACCATTGGATGGTTGGGAAGATTTAAAGATGCTCAGACGCAAAACGGCAACTGCAGATTACGGCAAATATATCGAAGCAGTGAAAAGTAGCACAGAAAAGAAATCTTAGCTAGCGTTCGGACTCTCTCTCCTTGTATATATAACATGCATTTGGAATTCATATTAGTTGACGTGTCATTCAGCCCATCGGATGGTTAGTAAGAATGACAGATTGCAGCTGCAGATGATTTGTCAAAAAATATTCGTTTGAGAGCAAGAAAAGCGAGATATCTCAGATCCATCGGATGGTTAGTAAGAGTTATAAATAGTAGCTGCACATGATTTGTCAAAAGAGGATTCGCTTGAAAGCCAGAAAAGCGGAATATCTCAGATCCATCTGATGGTTGATAAAAATCAAGATGGTCAAACATAAGGTAGCAACGATGCAATATATCAAACATTTAAGGCTAGCAAGGACGAAATTGCCGGGAAGCCGAAAGAACGGGATATCTTAATTCCATTGGATGGTTCAACGAAAGCCTAGAACTGTAAATCATGCTAGCGAATGGATGGTCTTTTCTTTTTACATAACATGCATCTCAGTTGACCTGTCAGATTCGATTTTGACATACTTGACAGTCTAGGGAAAATCAACTTAATTCTGAAAACTGTGAAGAGAGGTCTGTCCTTTGTATAAATACTCGAATTCCCTTTTCGAATTCATCCCAGAACCACCACCCACTTCCACACGCTCTCCCTTCGCAAAAAGGCGCCCATCTGACTCCGTTCTGAGCATCGATGTTTCCCTATGCTGGATGAAAGCATCGTGCAACAAGCTCGACAGATGGTGAAGGGTAAGGGTCTTGCTTTCTCTGCTTTTTCTTCTCACTCTTTCCCCTTTTCCCCTCACACGCTACTCCCCTCTTAAAAGTCGCCCATCTGACTCCGTTCCTTGAACTTGATGCTCCTGAATCTGGGCGAGTGATTTCCCATGGATGGACGAAAGTATCTTGCAAAAGGTTCGACAGATGGTAGAGGGTTCTCTTTTCCACGCACACACTACTCCTCCCTCAAAAGTTGCCCATCTGACTCCGTTCCTTGAACTTGATGCTCCTGAATCTGGGCGAGTGATTTCCCATGGATGGACGAACGTATCTTGCAAAAGGTTCGACAGATGGTGGAGGGTTCTCTTTATTGAGAATTCATATAGATAGTTCTCTGCCTTTCTTTTCCCTCACAGCACACAGCTAGCTCGATACAGTAATGGACATGGAACGCCTTTGCTCGCCAATTCGATCGATTCGAATCTCGACATTGTTCACGATAGTTCGCTTCGGATTCCCTAACTCAACGTTCGTCAGATGCAGTAGTATGGGAGCGATTATCCAACCACGCCGCATATGACAAGATTTTCACACCAGATCGTCTCGACAATCCAGGCGTACACATACAAGGTCCAAAAGGAGTAGAATGGATGAAAGGTACATTATATGTAATCCGCCTTCTCGGATCGAACGCAACCCCCACCACCCAATCTCATTCCAATCATCATCCACTTGTGATTCAAGACGTACTCTTCAAGACCCACTCGTCATTCAACTTCCATAACACATTTCTCATGCAGCCAGTACCATCATCGACTCACCATGCAACAAACATGGTCAATTTTTCATTTCGCACCATCACACCAGATTGACCGTGGCATTCAAATGCAGAAGTCTGTAGGATCACTTTACCAGAAAAAGCTTACAAATACAAACGCCTAAAGGCGACCCAAACCGACCAAAATTTCCCTCTGACGCTCTGGTGAAACCTTTGAGAATCCAAGGAAAGCCATCTCGTACGTCGCTTTTCCCTTTGTCAATGCACGCAAGATCGAACTATAACGTACCAATCGAACGAGTGGAACAACAGCCGAAATGGTACACTTGCCATCACTATTGCTCAATCTGTCCGACCCTGTCATAGCAGCGACATTGCTTGATGGCCCATCTTTGACCGCTTCTGGAGATGGAATGTAAACCGTATCTGTGGTATCTTTTTGATCTACATTCCCGTCCATTGCGTGATCAACTTGCTCAACGGTACCATCTTGCTCACTCGTCAAATTTGCAACCACTTTGCCTAACGATTCTTCGTCACATTGGATTCGCACATTCATGAATGGTTCCATCAATACTACACCAGCAGATCGAAGAGATTCCCGTAATGCTTGAGAAGCCAAAAGGCTGAAAGCTTTTGCAGGTGACACAGCAGCACCATACGATTGAACATTACTGATATGGATCGATACTCCCGTCACTGGATTCCCGCTCAACGGACCGCGTGAAAGGGCAGCTGTCAAGCCAGCTTGCAATGCTCGTCTGATAGCGTCGCGGTCAAATGTTTCCAATGTGGATGTCGATGTTGGCCCTCGTTGATGTGTTTTGGAATCGCCTTTTGAAGATTGTGCATCATCTCCTTCATCTGCAATCTCATCAATGATGATCTGATTTCCGCCAAAATGTGCATCTTCCATCTCTTCAGGCAAAAGGGCACGGACGGACATTGAACAGGATGCTTTCAAACGTTGACCCAAGACATCACGGTCAATCGAATGTTCTTCAATTGACGGATCACCTGTTTCCACCACCGTCTCACGGTAGCTCACCCGTACATTCCCCAGGTGCGCTTTTGCGCCAAATTCTTCTCTCAATCGATCACGGGCAATCTCCAAGTGCAACTCTCCCATTCCGCTCAACACCATTTGACCACCTGTGGACGCTGCTACGGATCCCAAAGCTGTTCCACCTGACGTTGTGCCTTGATCAAGATGCAAACTTGGATCGGTACGAATAAGCATGTCTAACGCCTCACGCAAAGGACCTTCATCGGATTTTGACAATGGTTCGATAGACATGCTGAATACTGGTGGTGGAACATTGACTTGACGTAACGTCAAGCTGGTTGCATATTTGGACCAAGAATCGCCATCATCTTTCTTTGACGGCTTGCCCGTCGGCATTCGAACATCCACCAACGTGTCACCTGTTCGGGTATCCTTCAATCCCAACAAGACACCAATCTGACCCGCTTCAAGTCTATCCGTTTCCACGTGTCGATCTGCATAGACGAACAGAATTTTACTCAGACGTTCTCGCGATCCAGTCATGGTATTTAGCAAGGTGGAAGATCGGGTTAGTGATCCAGAATAGAGTCGCACAAATGTCATTGGACCTTTCCTCTTATCCCAGACGACTTTGAAGGCCAAGAGGGACAATGCTTGGTCGTCTATCAAGATGCTGACATGATCCTGGCCAGGTCTTGCAACATCTTGTGCAACGCTTGCTCTGTCTTTCTTCTGCCGTCCTTTTTTGGGATCAGATCTTTCGTCTCTCGTCATTCGCACTTCTCCCCAGACACAACCTGAAGTAACATTACGCTCTATAGCAGCATCAAAGTCACCCGCTTCACCTGGACTCGGCAGGTAATCCACAACTGCATCCAAGACTGCCTGCACACCAACACCTCTAGCTGCACTACCACAAAGCACGGGCAAAACTTCTCCACGAACTACCAGTCGGCGTATACATTGTCGCAATGAATCAGTGTCGATCAAAGCTGTATAGTCGTCCCCCGCATTATCGCTCTCCATCGCCTTTAAAGTTTGATCAAGAAATTTTTCATCAAGATTGGCTGCATTTTCAACAATGACAGATCTTGCTCTGAATGCTTCATCTGCCAAAGATTGTAACACTCTGCCCTCTTTGACCGCTTCTTCTAATGGTAATCGTTCAATGTTTTCGCCTGCTTTTCCACCAAAGAAGTTTACCATCATAGGTTGAGTTGAAGTGAGGTCGATCAAGCCGGTCAAACATTCTTCGTCCATAGAAGATCCTGCACTCGTATTCATGGAGCTCTTGCTTGCAAAAACTGGTAATTGCAATAGCATCGGTCTTGAATGCAGACCTTTTTGGATGATGGATCGAATACTTCGTATTATAGAAGCACCCATCCTATCTAACTTGTTGACGAAAGCAACATGCGATCGAACATTATACCGTTTTGCAATCTTCCAAACACCTTCCGTTTGGCTTTCCACGCCTTCAACACCATCGATCAAGATCACACATCCATCTGCGACCCGTAAACTTCTTTCAACTTCGATGGTGAAGTCGATATGTCCGGGCGTATCAACCAAGATAATCTTTGCCGCATTCTTCTCGCTTTTCCATCCGAATGGACCGACGGCAGCAGATTGAATGGTGATCCCCCTCTGCCTTTCTGCTTCAAGGAAATCAGTCACTGTACTTCCACTGTCCACATCTCCCGGTAGCATGCGAGAGCTTTGTGAGCCAGCGATTTCACTTGACGATGAAGGCGGAACCAGCGCATTGGCAAGGTAAAGAACCTTTTCAGTCAATGTCGTCTTTCCTGCATCGATATGACCCCAAAAAGAAACATTTCGAAATGCAGATGTCTTGTCCGAAGCTGGAAGGATAGGTGTGTTGTGGAGTTGCCTTTTCAACGTACGCACAGGCAGGCGTGCGTGCTTATGCCTTGTGATAGCATTTATCATGAATGACCTTTGTGACCATAATCCTCTTGAACTGAGCAAGGAGGTCGTTGCCATCCTCTATAAGGAACCAGCCTTTTTGGATGAATGATGGTGTTTGCGAACAAAGGGAAGAAAGGCAACGTTAGCCTAACATTCAAAATGCGCTAATGAAAATATTCTTGGCCGCAGATCCGAATTCCGTTCTTAAGGAGTGACAATGAAAGGTGGTAAGGGGGTAATGAGACGTCATCATCTCAGGGTTGCTTCATTCTCCTCCTTTCCACGAACATAGGGATTGCTTATGAATTCAGAATTCAAAAATAAGGAGATATACATGATGATGAAATAATATGTGCAGGTTTCGCTTAGTATTTGCAAAGAAGTCAAAGTGCTAGCCTTGTATGCTAGTGTGATCTAGTCTAAAGGAAAATGATTGTACAAACGAGACAGTGGGAAGAGTATCAACAACTCCTTGTAGGGACAATGGATGGGTGAGCATCAGCTCAACAATGGTACAAATGCAGGGGAACAAGAGCCAGGGGCCATGAAAACGTTTAAACAAACATCATCGATAGCATCATTGCTATAGATACGCTTGCAAGGGCAAAGAATACAACCGAACCTTGAGCACTTGATGAACTGCTCTTGGACAAAAGATTTTTGGAGCTTCCGTTTCCGTTTCCATTTCCAGTGGTATTGCTGTTTCCATTGGAGGCAACTTTGCTGTTGTTATTGTTAGTGTTTGTACTATTTGCTTTTGTCACAGCACTTGAGACCGTGGCATAAAGCATTGAAGTTGTGTTGATAGGTGTATCATCATTATTGACCGCATTATGATACCAGTTTACGCCCAATTGTTCCGGTACACTGAGTGGCTTCCAGCCTAATCCGGCCAAACGAGGGTAATAATCGGTAAAGAATCCGACGGTGTGTTTGTTCAATTCATGTTCCAAAATCATCACTCCTGGACTCTTTGGCTGTTGAAGTGCTTTGTTGATAGCGTCAACGACACTCTTTTGCGATTTTCCGGGCGTTTCGCCAGGGCAAGCAGATTTTCCATTATCTTCGATACACCAATCGTTGCATTCAGCATCCCACATGACAGTTGTCAAGTTGAAAACACCTTCTGCGATAGCACGGACACGGTTATCAACGTCACCTTGAGGTGGACGCCAGTACTTAGGTACACGGCCGGAAATGTCATAAATGATTTGCATCGTCCAGCCCAGTTCACCCAATACTTCATAGTTATCCTTTGTTGTTTGTAAGGAATGTGACCATGTATGCACTGCGAGTTGTTGTTGTGTTTGTAATGCATGTTTTGCGTTGTCCATGTAAGCAACAATTTGCGATCCGATCATGAAATGTGTGCCTGCTTGATTGTGAGAATGCAAAAAGTCATACAAACCTGGTGAAGCGGCAGTTGGACCGTCATCAAAAGAGACCACCCAAACGCCATCTGCTGCTTCATGAACATCGTTTTCACCAAAGCAACCCGTGATTGACCAATTGCATATTTCTTTTTGGCTCATCTTTAGGTTCTTTGGGTAAAAGATCCCTGCGTCAGTAGAAGTGCTTACTGGGATATCGGGAATCTTGCCTGCCTTTTGCAAATTTTCCAAAGCATCTACCCAATCTTGCGGTAGCGATGATCTTGGCGGTGTTTTGAGTACGGGTGGATATTTTGATTTGTCTGGATTTTGACGTTTGAATTTGACATGATGAGAGTGTTCTTTTAATGCTTCAACGGATGATAGAATGCCAGCCAACGTGGCCAACAAGATGAGAACAGAAGTAGAGCGCATTTTGCTGTAATGTGAAGTTTGTTGATGTTTCAATGTGTGCCTCTATCAAAAGAGCAGATTCAAAGTAGTTGTCAGATGTGGTGAAAGTGAGCGTGAGCAAGAGCAATGAAAGTGTGTTGGTATTGAGGATTGATTGGTTGAATTTTCGTTTTTTCTTGCTGATTTGAGCGGAATGGGAATTGGAGATGATGACGGAAATGATGATGGATGTTTTTTTATATTACAAATATGATCGCCGCTCTTGTTGATTCAATTTAGCAACTCCCCATTTTGATACCTAATTTCGGTGTAATAAAATTGCAACGGATTCAGCCCGTAATGTGCTCTTACTCTATGCACACTAGCGGTATCTAACTTTATTGTGTGACATTTGATCTCGCTTCATTGGGAAGACGGAACAATACAAATAGACCCTCTTTTCAGTTTAAAAGTACTTGGCCAGTATATTTTTGTATTGCTTTTCTTTCCTTCTTCTGTAACGGAATTGCGTGTCCTGCATTTACCCGCATTATATGCGCTCTCCGCGTGTTTATGTAGCACAACTGTTTAATTCTTATCGTCATTGAACGTGTTCGGAGATTTCTTTGTTAACGATCGAAGACGTAACGCATTGTATTTGGGCATGCATGTCCGTTTTGCCAAGAAATTCAAGATCTGCATCAAATGAGTGCCATTAAGAATGTTGATTAAATTAATCAAACAAGGCACCCGACGGGTTTGATCATCCTGCGGACACAAGTCGACACGTCCATTTTTAGCGTGGTAGAATGACATGTTCAATTCATTCAACCTTCTTTTTTTCTTTCTTGTAACCGCCGGTGAAATGTTGCGCGCAGGCTCATCCAAAGAGACACGTGAGTAGCAGCTGACTAAGAAGGGGCAGATTTCTGCTTATGTAATTTTTTTGTTGGGATATGACGTATACGGTACGCCTGGCACGTGTACAGGCGTCACTTGCCGTATCACGCCGTATCACGCCTTAACGCCTGATTCGCCACAAAGGCTGATGATCCACAGTTTTGGTGCCCAAATTAGCCCATATGTCAAATATAAATAGTCAGATATCACATGTAAATTTTACCCACTTTTCTTTACCTCACTAATTTATTATTATCAATCAGAAAGCAGTGCCTGGAGACACAAAACGTAACATTTTTGTATGATGGACATATTCTAGACACCAATCATAGCCACTTTTGATGCTCGCAGCTGACAAAATGGTGATCGTCGAAATTGATGAGTCTATTTTAGTGATTCGAGATGCCGAAGCTATCTAATTGAAGCCTTCCGTAACAAGATGGCACATATGATGTCAGGCATTATAGTCTTCCCACGATTTAATTGACATTGATTGTGCCTTACTAAAACACATCTTAGCATCATGAACCCTTCTCAATGCCGATCAGTCTTTCCTCAAAATGCTGCTGCCCCTTGGGTCTATCTCTTCAACCTCCACGGCATTGAAATGCAATGGCGCCCCTTCGTCACTTTCTCTTCGATCTCTTTCTGTTTGTTGAGGCGCTTCCCTTGACAGCTGTTAATTTTACATCTGCATATATGAACGCCATCCGTAAGAAAAAGAAAGTGCTGATGAAATGCATTCAGTATGTTGCGGCACACAATTTTAAAAAAGTGCGGAATTAAAAGTTCACTGAAACCGTGCACCATTATGCAACAGGAACGCCGAACTTGCGCGGAAAGAGTTTTGGACAAAGTTTTCTTCTAGTCTACACAGCTCTACAGTAGGGCTGTACAAAAAGACACCGCTTCCGCTATAGTAATTCGTGGGAGATACTGCCGTAAAGGCTGTGTAAAGTGAAAAAGTTGTCAGTGCCTTTTAGTGTACGTTCCTATTCGAATTCTTCTGTTCTTACAAAGTGCCTTATTTCATGCCAAATCCTTTGCCGACTCTTTTTCTTGGCTTTGAACCAAAAATGATAATGTGCGGAACAGTCTTTTGAAAAGCATACACGCATCACGCTACCATACACAAATATTATACAACAGACTGATTCATATAAGCCGAATTCCAAAATCAAACTGCCGGTCAAAGGCGGGGGGAAAGCATAGGAGCAGTATCTTTATACATTCCGTTAATCGCGGCACCGTTTGAGGGTGAGGAGAAGGCAATAAAAATAACACTTTGTTTTGGGTCTTGTTGTGCACTAGACCTGCAAGAGAGAAAAAAAAACATAAAAAATTGTAATAACTTTGGCGTGTTTAAAAATACACTTTTTCGCCTTTTTTTTATTAATCTCTTTTGAGAGTGACGTACGACTTTGGGATGAACACGGCCAGCGTATTTGTGGGTGTGCGTGTATGTGTGTATGTGTTCGTGTGCGTGTGTACGTGTGTTCCTATTCCGAATAAAAACACTCCTGCATTACACCAACAAATTGATATCATTCAAATCAACTTCCTTTCATCCGATTCCTTGTTATACTAGAGTACCTTTTCATCCTTTCTTCATCATCATCATCAACAAAAGAATCCCTTACGATAACCTCGATCAATTCGTCTTTTCTTTGGTCAAATCGGTTCTTTGTTCTTCAAATTATAATCAATTTCGACTCACAAAAGAATCTTCTTTTCCTCCGTCCATAACTTCGCGGGGTGTCCGACGTAATTGTACGCTTCAAAACTTACCTGACGCCATTTGTATCAACACCACGACAAAAAGCCTCTTGGTTACGCCATCGCAGACGATCAAGAAACTTGAGTCGTGATTCTTTGTGAAAAAGAGCAAACGTTTCCACATCTGAATATCTACTCATAGTGCCTCAATTGAACGCAGGATTGACATCATCATTCGAGACATGCTTCGGAACCTATAGAATACATTCGGCACCACTAACCGACATTATCAATTATCCCATCTTTGGGCCGATCAAACGTTATCGACAAGTTCATACCAAAAGAACTTCTTTTCTACCATGGCTCGAATGTTAAGCAGAAGGACGTCTCAAGTCCTATTGATCTTGCTTTCCCTTTTTCTGCTTGGTACAATCGCATTCCTATGGGCCGTACGATCTTACTTTTCCATAGATGCAGGAGCAATCATTCGACCGGAAGAATTGGGAACGTGGGAAGAGATAAGGGCCGGAGCGCCAGAGTATACCCTCTCATGGAAAGCACGATATCCATACTTGGCCAAAGCTCTTTCTCTTAAACCACAAGAGACTGTCGTTCTGGATCAAAAATCACAGCTTGAATTCGATGATGCCATTGCAAAACAAGCAGCCGAAGCGGCAAAAGCAGCTGGATTTGGAGATGATGGTGGTTTGGGCTATATACCAAGTGGAAGAGATAATACACCCAAGCCATGGAATCCCGTAACTGACCCTCCAGAAAAGATACCAAGAATCATTCATCAAACATGGAAAGATAAGAACTTACCACCTCAATGGCAATTAGTACGCGATGAATGTGCAAGGATGCATCCCGATTACGAATATCGATTATGGACAGACGAAGATTCACGCAAATTCATTGAGGACTATTACCCTTGGTTCTTGCCAATCTTTGACAGCTATCCGTACAACATTCAACGCGCAGATGCGATCCGGTACTTCATCTTGCACAAGTATGGGGGTATCTATATGGATTTGGATGTTGGATGTTTGCGTCGTTTCGATCCTTTACTACGTTTCGAAGTCGTTTTACCAAAGACGATCCCAGTCGGTGTCAGTAATGACGTTATGGCATCAGCAAAGGAGCATCCATTCATGGACCACCTAATTCACAACTTGGTCACATTCAATCATCGCTACTTGACACATTATCCAACTGTGATGTTCAGCACAGGTCCGATGTTTGTCAGTGCATCTTATGGATTGTACGTGGATGCCGAAGGACTGTCTACTCCATCTACTCCCGGTAATCCATCTGCAGGCTTCAGTGGAATTCGTGTTTTGCCAAAGCCATTGTATGGAAAGAACGCCAAGCCATCCGAGGCACCCGACGCATTCTTCCGACACTTCTATGGTAGCAGTTGGCACGAAGGTGATGCTGGATTCTTGATCTTCTTGCGGGACCATGGTCGATTCTTGATCTTTGTTGGATTCTTGATTGTGATGTATTGCTTTGGACGTTCTCTCGCTCCACGTCTTATCATGGCTTTGGGTGATCGATCCGACAGGAGGAGACGGCATAACGGATCTCGAAGACGGGGAAGATGGATCTCTTTGCCTTTTGTCCGTGATCCTAGATCGGGAGAATACCGTTCTATCTCTAGTGATTCATATCGTTCGAAGCGTTCCAGCAAGAACTTCTTTGATGAATCTACCCAAACAAGTTCTTCAGCAATGGCAGGTGCATTACCGATGACCAATTTGGAAGGATCGCAAGGATCACGATCGATAGGCGATACTCGACAAACCTTCGTTGCTGCACCTAGACCACAAAGGGCAGGCTTGCCATTCTTTGATATGAGTGGAGATAGCGAAAACAGTAATGGAGAGGATGATATGGATCTGGGACCAGGTTTGAACTTGGAAAGGATTGGTCATCATACCAGTAACGCAGCGGCTGCTATGTCTGGTGGCATCATGAATTGGATGAATGCTTACGGTATCGGAAGTAGCGCAAGCAGTAGTAGACCGCAAAGTTCAATGTCTGTTGCTATGAGCAGCGATGATCAAGGTTCACCATCAAGTATGAACAGAGATGTGGACAATCATACAAGATCAGGAAGTATGAGCAAGAAGAAGGATAAGAATAGCGGTGTATTGTACTTGCCTGCATACTTGGTGGGAAGCGGAAGTAGCAGCATTGGAAGTCAAGATTCAGCTTTGGGTGCAATGCGCGCATTGGAGGATGAAGGATTAACAAGTCCAACCGATAGTCAGCTCTATAGAGGATCGCCTCCACCATGGAAATTGACAAAACCGCATACACGAAACGGAAGTAACGTATACAATTCCAATAATTCCAATACTGGATCGTTTGGCAGTTGGGCAAACACACTTTTGAATTCGGAAGGCTCAGCGGCAATACAAAAGATGTGGGGTAACGTCAGCTTTGGTGCACGAACACCAAGTCCGAGCATCTTCCTTCATAATCCGCTTTCTAGACAGAGGGACGAATCATTAGGGCAAAACAACAAAGCTAAAAAGCACGAAAAAGGAAGGGATCTTGAAAGCTATGGAAGCGGAACGGTCGAATTTGAGGTGGAAGAAGAAGAAAAGACTTCTAGGGGGAAAAGCTCAGCGCCCATGATTGCATCAACATCTCAAGGAAGCATATCTGAGCTTGTCAGCTCCAGTACCGATCAGGACGTATACAGCAACGGAGTTCCGTCTGATTTCAAACGTCGTGAGGGATCAGATGGAAATGTTTCGATTCAACTTGATGATTCTCAACCTCCACCGCCACCGTACGATTTTGCACATTCGACAAATCAAACGACTGGAACGGATGATAGTGGCGAGTCGGACGAACAAACGCCAAAAGTAGCTGCAACGAGAGTGATGGGTAGACGAAAGTCATAGAATCCCTGTCAATCGACTCTTTATTCTGCACAATGTACTATAACAACGATGACGCTGCTAGTCTGCTTCATCAAAAATTTCAATTCTTCGATTTGCACTCAAACTATTTTCTTTTGCTCAATTTTTTCCAATTCAAAGGACTTTTTTTTTGGTTGCTCACAATTGGGGGAAGCACGAATTAATAGAGCATGCTTATCATATCAACTTTAATCCGCAAAATCAATTCTATCAACGTCATGTAACGTCCTCCCTTTACGAAAGCATATGTCATGTAGGCATTTCCTCTTTGTTTTATTAATCATCAATTATAATCTGAAATTTACACATAATAGTACATCTTTGAATGAAACTCCAAACAACGCTCTTCTTACGGGTATCGTGTGCCGTTCATAGTCGGATAGGTATCTTCATGAGACTGATATCCGGATTTCTGCTGTTGTCGAGGTAGTTGTCGGCTTGGCATTCTTGGTGTAGGTAATGGCATCGGACGAATCGGCGTACGTGAGCCAAGAGCACGTATACCATCACTTTGACGTCGACTTGGCGTCCGAGCTACGTTTGAAACGTTTGATTTTGGCACGCCTGGCGTAAAGAACGTCGGCGGTGGCTGTGGTTGAGGTTGTGCTGGCGTTGGATGCGGTGTTCGTGAATTTGCACGAATCAAACTCAAACGATTTGGCGTCTGTCTTGCTTGTCCGTCAAAAATGTTTGTCCGATCGCCAAGCGTTCTACTGGGTGTACGTAAGCCTACTATCGGATCGTTTGAAATGTCATCTGACGGAAAGAATGGTTGTGGTGCTGAAATCCGATTTCTTGCGTGCTTCGGTGTTGCAATGGCGGTGATCTGGTCTAAGTCGCTTCGAATTGCCTTTCTTCGTGATTGATCAAATTGCGTTTTCAAATTTTCGTAATCTCTTCCTGTCGAACGTAAGATATCGTGTAGCTCTCTTGTCTTTCGCCTCTCTTCTGCCAATTCGTTGGTCAACTCTTGTACTTTGGCTTCCAAATGGTTCACTTCCGTTTTTGCAGAAATTTGAATTCGATTAAGTTCCCGTTCAAAAGTTGAATTTGAAGCTTGTGCTTTTTTCAGTAGCATTTGTTGAAATGCACTTTCTTGCATAGACTGATAATTGTGAAACGCTATCGCTCTTGTACAAATTTCCATGATGATCTGTGGTGAAAGGCCTGCCAACACAGAAGCTTTGTACGATGCTGATGGATTCAAAGAAGTCACTACTGCATCATCTTGATTTTCCAATGGCGTACTACAAGCTGGGCATATCCTTCTTCCCTGTAGAAGGTTTGTTGCACATTCGAAACAAAAGATATGAGAGCAAGATGTCGAAACAGCTCTGCCTGTGGAAAGGATCAGGAAAAACAAATACTCAGCATTTCATAACTTCAGCGCGCATTAATTCGAACTCACCTTCTGCTTGCAATGGCTTGCGACAAGGCAGTGAATTACACCGTAAAGATTCATCCATGACGAGTATGAGTGATGGTTGTATCGGACAAAGAAGTGTACAAGCTGTCAACTATCCACTTTTAGAGTTGAGGGATTGATTGATGTGAGTTGAGTGCATACATGCACGCATGAATGCGTGTACGGTGTAAGGCACACGCACTTAACCCCGTGTTCTACTTCACTGCTTCATACAATCTTGATATGATTCTACTATCATTGAAATGGAATAAAATAAAATACAATTGCTATTCAGCTTGACGTTTTCTCACAACTCTGCAAGAAGCATCGTTCCCAAACTTTGAACAATTTGATCACCCATCGCAGCCTCAACAGCATCCTCCAAATGTCTCTTGGGATCTTGCTTACCGACGTGGCGTGTTTTCAGCTGTTCTGCTGTTAAGGTGCTTTCTTCTTGTACTGACTTATTGTATGCTTCTGAGAGTGAAAGCATTCTCTGAACAGCTTTCTCGTTTTGCTTCTTATGCTCTCCCCAATCTCTCAACCGTAATCCTTCCATCCAGCCTTTCTTGTGCAAATTGCCAAGCATGCTTTGTTCCAACTCTGTCTTACGGTATCCCATTGGAATACTGTAATAATGTCTATTGAGACCGTGGATCAAACTCTGAATGCTAGGCTTGTTCAAGTGACCAACGTTGGAAGTGGTTTGACGGGGTTCTTGACCTAGGATGACTGTGTTTGGATTGATGAGTCGGAAAGCATCGATGACAACCTTTCCGGGCACAGATTGGATCGGATCCACCACAACAGCAACGGCACGAGGTTGTAGTTGTTCAAAGCTTTGTTGTGTGTTCACATCAACGCTCGATAGCCAACATCCGAATCCAGGGTGGGAATGGTACCAACCGACCACCATCTCCGGTCTAAATATCAAGAAGGAGAGAGTCAGTAACAGAGTTCAGGATAAAACGAGCATATCGTTGATGTGAGAGAATGTCGGAGGACTGATAGAGGCGAACGTGCATTTAATTTTACACGCTTCCGAATAGAATTTGTCAAGAGCCACCAAAATGTTCGTCTTGGCTATACATATTGACCCGCAAAACAAACGCCTATGGACCGTCATCCGAAGAGAAGTCAGGCGAGCGGGCTTCGATAGAGCCGAAAAGGGAGGGGTGTCCTACAAAACCATCAAGATACTCACCTTCCTGTTTGTTTGAGCATTTCGAGCATTTTCGTTTGGAAAACTTCATCAACCGATTCGACACTGACACCGGTACCTGATTGAGGCATAGCAAAAACGTCGATAACTGTGACTGTATAATCGTCCACAAATTCACCCAACATCAATCCCATCACTTCCATTGGTACACCTGCTCTTCCATGTTTGAGCATCTTTAGAAGTGCTAAACTTGAAATATAAATCATCTCTGCATTGTCATGTTGAGGAGCATCACCACCTGGACCTCCACCTTGCTGTCCTCCTCCCATAGATGCTTGATTCATCATTGATTGAAAATCCATCTTGACAGATTATGATTGTGTCAGTATGTGATGATGGTACCGAGAACGGGTGGAGCGTTATCAGTCAGCGAGCGAAAGTGTGTGTGTAATAAATAACAGCCATAGTACGCGCGTTGCTCTTAATCTTCCCTTAACGCGTGAACAGGACACAGTCCGTGCGCTGCGCTATCAAACCATTCTCGGCCGAGTGCATCAATTCTAACCCTAACCCTAACCCCCACCTGCAAAGCGAAATGTTGCTGTAGAAGTTCCAATGGATAAGAGAGCCGAGTACAGTCAGTACATCGAAGAAGTGAAGAGAGAAGCTGCAGAAAAGATAGAAAAGCGGGGTATCTCAGAACCATCGGATGGTTAGTAAGAATTGCAAATTGCAACTGCAGATGATCTGTCAAAAAAGTATTCGCTTGAAAGCCAGAAAAGCGGAATATCCCAGATCCATCTGATGGTTGATAAAAATCAAGATGGTCAAACATAAGGTAGCAACGATGCAATATATCAAACATGTAAGGCTAGCAATGTATAAATTACCCGGAAGCCGAAAGAACGGGATATCTTAATTCCATCGGATGGTCCAAGGAAAGTCTGGAACTGTAATTCATGCTAGCGATTGGATGGTCTTTTCAGTCATGTAATATGCATGTGAATTATCATCAGTTGACCTGTCAGATTCGATTTTGACATAATTGACAGTCTAGGGAAAATTATACGAATTCTGAAAACTGTGAAATGAGTGGATGAAAGGTATATAAAGTCCCCTTTTTTTGATTGACTCCAAACCCCCATCACCCACATCTCATTCCAAACATCATCCACTTGTCATTCCAATCATCTTCCACTTGCCATTCCAATCAACTTCCCCTTGTCATTCTTGTCGTTCAAAGACCCACCTGTCATTCAAGATCAACTTGTCATTCAGTCAACATCACAAACTCCTGACAAGACACACAAGACAATGATTGTGGAACTCAATGCTAACAAAAATGGCATCACTTCAGGAAAAGCCTCACAAGTGCAAACGCCAACATGCAACCTAGTCAACCAACGTCTTCTTTGACGCTCCGGTGAATGCTCTGAATATTCAGTCAACGCCATCTCATTTGTGTCCTCACTCAACCGGCATCATCCACTTCTCATCTGTGGATCACAGCTCAATCAAGCGGTATCGTTCTCTTGTCATTCGAGAACCACTCCTCACTCAAGACAATTTCTCATTCAAGACCGCTCCTCATTCAACCGGCATCGTTCACTTCTTATTCGATATCCACTTGTCGCATAATCAGCATCACGCATTGCATTTCTCGCAATCATCATACGACATAGATCGGGGCAATGAACGCAAGCACGACCCGCATCGCTTCATGAAAAGAGCTCACAAGTACAAACGTCCAAATGGAGTCCAAATCAACCAAATGTTTCCGTGGACGATTCGAAAAAGTCTTTGCAAGATTAAGAAAAGCAGTCGAATACATCGCTTATCCCTTTGCCGACACACGCAAGATCGAAATTCGAACGTATCAATCGAGTAAGCGAAACATAATCAGCCGAAATGGTGCACTTAGGGGTGCCAGTGCCATTACTCAAGTCTTCCGACACCGTCACAGCAGCATCATGTTTACTCAACGGTTCCAAAATTCAATTCACAAACAATTTTCATGGTCAAGAGGGCAATACTTGATCATCAATCAGAATGGCGACATGATCATTCTTGTTGCATCTTACACGACACTTGCTTTCTCATCCTCACGCTACCCTTTCTTGGGATCAAAGAACTCGTTCTTTGCTATTCTCACTCCTCCTCACACTCATCCTATCTTTATCGGGTACTTTAGAATACAATTTTTCTACACAATGATAAGCTATATCAGTATCCTATCTTCGATGAAGACGATCGCGTTTATCGATACGGATTGTGTACTAGCGAGATCGTAAATCGAGCTTATATAAATCCATATTAAGCGATCGAATATAGCGAAAATGAGCTAGACGAATACGACGATGAAGACGATTCAGAATTTGACATTCATGACATGATCTATGGAGGAGAATTTGGCGTAAGCGAGGACGAAGATTAGGAAGATGAAGATAACGATTTCATCGATGACAGACCTGTCGAGATCAATGATGATAGTGAAGATGAATTTTAATTCGACCATCATCTGCACCATGGCGCTCATGATCACGACAATAGCGATGTTTAACTTGTCGCCATCAATGGCCGGAATGTACCTCCGGTAAGAAGACGACGCGGTCGTGTGATCGCACACTCTGATTCGGAGGAAGATCAAGGCGATCGTAGAGCGCGTTCTCCTTCTAACGAGAATTTTTCTGATCGTGACGAAGAAATGATGGTAGGAGCCGGGCATTACGATAATGACGAGGAAAGCGAAGGGGGAACAGAAAACTCTTATTCGGAGGAAGAAGGCACTTATGCGAGCAATTCGGATGATGGAGCTTCATAAGATTTTGACGAAGGATTCGACGATGGAGACCCAGACGACTTCGATGAAGATGGAGCGGATGATCTCGATCTTGATTGATTGATTGAAGGCATGCACACCTCAAAAAGCGCAATTTGTAGGTCAGACTGTACCTATAATGTCTGTATCTAGCACACATCTGTATCTTTGTATTGTATTTCTCATACGGCTTGATAACCACACAACTTCTGAAGAAAGGCCACCTTACTGACATTTGTATCACCAACAACACTCAACACACACACAAATAATATTTCTATATCCATTAAGAATAGAACGACGAATTGAAGTAAAGGGTCTAAGAAGGTGGCACACTGAAAATAAAAAAAAGGTTTACACTTGCCGAGCGTGGTTCAAGGAGAATAGCTTGTTGCTTTGATTGGTTTCAAGGTCTCGAGGTTCTGTGGATAATATGAGCTCAGACGGATTTGAAGGAAGACTTGTCGCATCGTCCGTCAATCATGAAGGCATAGCAGACGGCTGCTAAATTTTGTCACTTTCAGCCTGCTCTTCAATACGTTCACGAACCGATACGGGTGATTGCTCACTCTGACTACGACGAGATGAAAAGGTGCTAGAAAAGCCTTGTCTTGTCCTCTTTCTCGCCGCATGAGAAGAATCTGCTACAGTCGTCGAAGCCGTTTTGCTCCAATATTGTCCTCTGTCGCTTCCGTCTCCTCCATAGCATGTTTGCGCTTTCTGTGCTCTCTTGGTAAAGCGGGATAGATGTATTGCGAGTCTGTTTCCGGTGAGTTGGTAAATCCTACTCTTTTGAAATGGGAGCTAAGATTTGCTGGTGTGCTCCCATTCATCGTCTTTGACGGTACACTTTGAGCAATTTCTGTAATTCCACTATCATCGATTGTGCTGTCCTGACGTAATGGTGTAGCAGGGGAAGTGTCATCCTCCTCCTCTGCAACAGATTCAATCGTCACAGCATTTAAATCCAGATCAGGATATGTTTCTTGCAGTTTCACAATGAGATCCTTTGCCTCGCCTTTCCTAATTTCCCGTTCTTCACGAAGATTGTTGGCATGAGCTACGATCTCGGCATCAATAGAATCATTCAATCGTCTTAAAGCTGCGTCTGAGAATTTTGTGAGATCTGGCATCCAAGAATTGACATTTGATCGTTCTCGTTGAGATTCATCCAAATAAGTGAAAGTGTAGGTATCCATATCGAAATCAGTTTCCACCAAACCTTGTTGCGCATAATTGTGATGTGCTTGGAGGACTTCAGCTACACGAGCAGCTACATCATAGTTTTTACTGGTAACTTTAATCATTTTAGGACTTGAGTCAAATATGTCCATTCGCAGTTGCATCACGGTAGCTAAGACCATCGTCTCATCGTCTTCGCTCATCATCACGCTGCTTGACTCTTGGCTTTGGCCGATGGAAGTGCAAAGCTAAGCTCATCGGGTGGCAATTGATCAAGCCTTTCTAGCCAATCAGATCTGACCGTACCTTTTGCCGATTGAATTTCATTAATACATAGAACAACAAGGTAATGCAAAGGATCTAATGAGTTGGTACAGTGATGTGTTGTGTCGTCGACGGCTGAATGGAATAGATCCACACTTGCCGCCAAGCACATTCCGACTAGGATAGTCCATTGGTGTGGCCTTGTATTGAGGTATGACGCACCCAATGAGGTTGAGGTATAATTGTATTGTCCAATTTGATAGTTTTATTTATGAATCAAGTCCATCTCGAGATAGCTCAGCTGGCGAATAATTTGTCTCTTTGACAGCTGAATGGAATATGTCTACACTTGCCGAGCGCGCTTATGGTTTGTTTGGAACTCGCATACAGACCACATGTGCTTTCCCCTTGTGGTCATGTATTTTGTGCTCGTTGTCATGTGTTGTGGTTCAAAAAGGCATTGCCAGATGAGCCACCATTTGCTCCGTATCTGACAGAAGAGCAAAGGACAGAGGAACAACAACGTCGGACATTACGATATAAAAAGCTTTGTCCGCATTATCGTATAAGAGTTCAAGCCAGACCAGCAGAAGTTTGGATGATCAAAGGTCTGGTGGACAAGCTCGATGAAAGTATACGATCAGGTCAAGGCAATGATAAGGACACAGACATTTCAAATAGCACCTCTTCTACTGACGCAGAAGCAAATGAAGCTCGAGGCGAAAACCTGAAAGCAGGCACGGCACTTTAGGACACAATTTTTCTACACAATGATAAGCCATATCAGCATCCATCCATTCGCTAGCATCACCTAAAGTTCTAGACTTTCCTTGGACTACCTGATGGAATGAAGATATCACGTTCTTTCGGCTTCCCAGCAATTGATGCTTGACAGCCTTAATATGTTTGATATGTTGCATCGCTGCTGCTTTATGTTTGACCATTTTGAATTCTTATAACCATCAAATGGATCTGAGATATCACGCTTCTTTGACGTTTGCATAATGGCTTGCTTGATAGCTTGGATTTATTTGCATAATCTACAGCCGTAATCCTCAGTTCTTTCTGCTGACCATCCGATGGTTTTGAGATATCCCGCTTTGCTGGCTTTCAAACGAATACTTTTTGACCAATCATCTGCAGCTACTATTCATGACTCTTACCAACCATTCGATGTTTCTGACAATTCTGGCCTTTCTTGGCTTTTGAGCGAACACTTCTTTGACAAATAATCTACAGCTGCGATCTGTAATTCTTACTGACCATCCAGCGGATCTGATATATCCCGCTTTTCTGGCTTCTCGGTAAGTGCTTTCTTTGCAGCCTTGATAAGTTTGCTGCACTCTGCTCTCTTGTCCGTCTTTTAAGACCTCTGCGGCACCATTCTGCTCTGCAGGTATGAGTGAAGGTGTCAAACCTTTAGATGGTGAAAGTTTTGTGTATGCACCTATCGTTATTGACATGGCCAGTCAAATGACCCATCGATGCATGTGTAGCTGGAGCAGCAGGTATGATGTGACATGCTTTTTTTGAATGGGCTATTCAAATTCAAGTCTTTTCTCATCATGGTCATCCAAAAGGATAAGTAATCGATCAAGTTGGCTGACAATGGATGTATGCTACCCTACGCACGCACGCACGCCTACGTATACTCCATATTAGCGTGACTTTATGCAAGAAGAAAGTCACTAAAACGACTGAGTTTCATGCTTGACTCTTTCCTTCATCATTGGACTCACGCAGGAGTGCAAAAGTGATGGACATGAGCATGTCCATCCATTGATCAAAATTGTACTTTCATCTGCCGCTCGTACTTCACATGCATCGGTGAACCCTTTGGCTGGGAAACAACTACACCGATTCTCAAATCAAATCTCGGCGAAACTATTTCACCATCCAAAGCTCCCACTCATTCACCACCACCTGCAAAGCGGGACGTCGCTGCAGAAGTTTCAATGGATAAGAGAGCCGAGTTAAGTGATCATATCCGAGAAATGGAGAGAGTAGTTGCCGAAAACCTAGACAAGCGGGGTATGTCAGAACCATTGGATGGTTGGTAAGAGTTACAAATAGCAGCTGCAGATGCTTTGTCAAAGAAGTGCTCGTTTGAAAGCCCGAAAAGTGAGATATCTCAAAACCATCGGATGGTTAGCAGAGAAAACTGAGGATTACGGCTGCAGATTGTGCATATAAATCCAAGCTATCAAGCAAGTCCTTGTGCAAACGTCAACAAAGCGTGATACCTCAGATCCATTTGATGGTTATAAGAATTCAAAATGGTCAAACATAAAGCAGCAGCGATGTAACATATCAAACATGTTAAGGCTGCCAAGCATCTATTACCGGGAAGCCGAAAGAACGGGATATTTATTCCATCGGATGGTCCAACGAAAGCCTAGAACTGTGAATCATGCTAGCAAT